TAGGGCGCTCAATCGGGAAGGACTGGAAGCGCCGGGGTCGCTCGACAAGCCGCGTGGCAGCGACCCCCTCCAGCCGCAAGAACACCGGCGAGTGCGGCCCCAGCGGCGCCTCGTGCAGCACGTCCACGCGCCCAACACATGCTGCAAGGGACTCGCTCACCACGAAGAAATCAAGGACCCTGCCCCCGATGCCGTCGTCGTGGTCCACCGCCTCGTCCTCGTCGGCGTCCTGATCGTCGCTGCTGCCGTCAGCGTCGTCCTGGTGAGGCGCTGTGCACGTGGGCAGGGCTGGCGCCGCCACGACGCCGTGCAGCCGTGACAGTAAGCCGGACTCTTCCAAATCGTAGGGCGTGAAATTCCAGTCACCTGCCACAACCCATGGGCATGGCAACCGGAGGACAAATGCCGCAATGACCTCCAGCAAATCAAGGTTGCCAGCGATGCCCACCTTGGTCCGGCCGTACACGGATACGACGACCAAGCCCTGCGGCAACCCCACGTTGAGCTTGCGAGCAACCAGCCGGTGCTCCCAGCCTGCGAATTCTGGAGGCTGTATGGGAGCTGATGCCACATGCCCGGACACGGCCACTCCGACCCCGGCAGAATCCTGGAGGGCCCCGTCCCCAGTCGACTGGGAGAGGCCGATGCTGGGGAGAAGTCCCTTCCCCTCCAACCAGGTTTGGGCTGCCAGCGCACGGCTCTCCGAAGGAAGGCGCAGCTCCTGGCAGCAAAGCACGTCCGCCATGGGCTTGTTTGCGTCCAGGCCGAGGCTCTCGCAGCATCCCGCCGCCGCCTGCTGTCGCAGCCACTCCAGCAGCCGCGTGGCCGAAGACCAGGCATTCACATTCGCCGTCATCAGCGTGAAGCCGGTGACCTCCTCGGGCGGGGGCGGCAATCCGCCTGGCGCCATGACGGCGCCGCCGGGCTGAAGCCGCAGCACCCCCTCCCCGGACTCGTTACCCGCCTGTTGTGCGGGACGGGGAGCCCTTGCCGATGGCCTTCCGCACGTGCTTCCTGGTGAGTTCGAAGTGGGCCTTGGCCTTGGGCTCGTGCTGCTTGCGACGCTTGGTGCGCTGCTCCTCCTCCTCCCCTTCCGGCGGCGGCTCCTCCATGTCCGCGAAGTCCTGGCAAAACTGCATCTGATCGTGCTCGGGCAGGTCTCCGAAGGCAGGTGCAATTGTGCCACACATCGATGGGGCCAGCGATGCCGCATCGTTACCTCCTCCATGCACTCCTGGAGGCGCGTCTCCTCCGGCAGGCTGCTGAGGAAGACCACCAGGTAGGCCAGGACGAGCTGCAGGAAGCCCCAGGCCCCCCGCAGCCTCCTCTGCGGCGGCGGCGGCCGCTGCGGCCTTGGCCTCCTTGATCTCGGTGGCCTTGACCATGTCCACCAGCGCCTGGGCGTTGGGCATGAACCTCTGGAGCTGGGACACGCCGTCGTGCTCAGCCGCCAAGGCGCCCACAGCCGAGTAGGCATCCAGCAGCACCTGGACGACTTCCGCGGCGGAACGACGTCCCGTCGCGTCTGCCTCTGGCCGCGTGTTCCTGGCGATGACCTGCTGCTGCTGCCTGTACTCCGAGATCTGCTGCTTGGCCCGGAGGTTCTCCTGGGCGATCCCCGCCCGCTCCTCCTGCAGCTCTTTGATCTTGGACTCGCACTCCTTGTCGCGCATGCTGCGCTTGTCGATGCCCTTCTGCACCTTGTTAACCCTTTCCTCGAGGATCTGCCACTGGCTCCCCAGGGGCTTTGCCGAGAGCCGCTTGGCCTGAATCTCCTTGATCCTGGCCTTGTTCTTCGCGACCAGGACCTCCGTGCCGTCGATCGCGTCGAGCCTCTTGTTGTCCTCAACAAGCTTGAGCTCCTCCCGGCGCAAGTCCTCCACGTCCTCCTCCTCCATGCTCTCGTCACCTCTCCCTGCTTCCTTGGTCTGAGCCGCGGCCTGCGCTTCACGAAGCTGCTTCTCCATGGCTGCGACCTTTTTCTGCAAGGCGGTGACCTCCTTGGTCGGGGCCGGAATGCCCCCAGCTGGCCGGACCGAGCGAGAGGGGGGCCCAGCGTAGGCAGGCTTCCAGTAGCACTTCCCTTTAGCTACTTTGCACTTATGGCAATTCTTGTTCTCGGCCCTGTTGCTGAACGGCTCGCCGCGCTTGTTGAGGCAAGTCTTGCACAGCCATTCAGCATCCGCTCGAGGCGCCATTCCGGATGATGATCCGTGGTGACCGTCGAGTAGGCGGGCTGCTGCGTCCAGGCGGGCAGCCAGCCGAGGGGTCCGCTGGCCCTTCCAGGCCCGAAGTAGATGTCGCGCTTCTGCACGCCCTCGCCGAGCGCGCACGTGCCACGCCGGCTCCTTGAGCGACGTGGCCAGATGTGGAGCGCTGGTTGCGCTCAGTTTGGGCTGGTGTTTATTAAAGGGAGTCTCTTTTTTATTCGCAGGCAAGCCTGCTGCCCCCTCCCAAAATCCTTTAAGAAAGCCACGAGCCAAAAGCAACTAGGAGGGGAGGAGGGGGAGGAGGAGGAGGAGGGAGGATGAGGAGGAGGAGGAGGAGGAGGGGAGAAGGAGGAGGAGGGGGAGGAGGAGAAGGAGGGGGAATGGGGGAAGAGAGGCAAGCCGGGTGCGTTCGCGCCACATCTGACATCCGGCCCTCCAACCCGTCCCTTTCCCTTGCGCGGAAGTTCTCTTCTTTGCACCATCGGGTGTACTGGCGGACCTGGGGCAACCCAGAGGAGCTGATTCGTGTCTGAAGAGGGGAGCTGTGCAAATTGGAAGAAGAGGTGGCAGATGAGCAGAAGGATGAGCAGGGGCAGGAAGAGAAAGATAAGGCAGGAGGAGGACGAGGAGGCACGGCAGCAGCAGGAGGAGCGGGAGGCGCGAGGCGACCAGGGGAAGGTGGGGGAGGGCAAAGGAAGGGGGCGGCACCTATGAGGCAGCACTCGGATATCTGGAACTGCTGCCCCGCGCTGGGGCGGCAGCGCCATGCCGAACGACGGGAGCAGATCGCCGCTCCCCGCAAAGAGGCCAAGGCAGCAGCGGGGGCAACGCGGCCCTTGCGGAGGAGAAGGAGGAGGATGAGGCGGAGCAGGAGAGGGAGGAGGAGGAGGAGGAGGAGGACGAGGAGGAGGAGGAGGAGGAGGAGGAGGAGGAAGAAAGGGCACCGACCCGAGACCGCACCGATAACATCCGGATGGGGAAGACACCGCAAGAGAGCCTGTAGCTTGCGAGACAGCAGAGGGCTGCGCGGAAGAGGGCGCGCGACACGCGCAGGCCCGCTCTTCGGGGGACGGAGAGGAGAATACTATCCACACCTGCTCCTCCTCCAACTCCTCCTCCTCCTCATCATCCTCCTGCACCTCCTCCTCCTCCTCCTCCTCCTCCTCCTCCTCCTGCCCTCCTCTTTTTCCTCCGGGGACATCGGGAATGAGGAGGAACAGTAGGGAAACCAGCGCGGGGGGGGGGGAAACGTCAAGCTCGGGCTGGCGATGAGTAAGTACATCACCGAGAGCTTGGCGATAGGCCCCCGATGGCAGAACAGCAAGTCCCTGGGAAGGGTTGGCTATACAGCACCTGCAGAGGATGAATGGGCGATGTGGGCTCGATGTCTTCTCCCCTAACCCTATGCCTCTAAAAGGCTACCCCTGCGGGGAAGAGGGGAACCCTCATCACCGACTCAACATCCTCCTCCGCGCCCGCCGCCACGCCCGCTTCCTCCTCCTCCTCCTCCTCCTCCTCCTCCTCCTCCTCCTCCTCCTCCTCCGCGTGTTTCCCGACCATCCTGTGATGCCGGGTCCTCGGTTTGAAGAGACAGCGCCTCGCGTCTCCTTCCCACCCGCTGCTCCTTCCTCCCCATCCTCCCATCCCTGCCCGTGCCTTCGGACACAAAGTACAGCGCTTTGTGGCCCCATCGACGGCTGCACCGAAGGCCCCAGCGGCAGGTCCGCACGGCGGCCCCGCGCCGATTCGGCACGCCCCTCACACACTTCGTGGCCCCATTGGGAGCTCCACCGCAGGCTCCACCGAAGACCCCCGGCGGCAATGGCCGCATGGCGGCCCCGCACCCGCTTCGGCACGCCCCTCACACGCTTCGTGGCCCCAGAAGGGGGCTCCACCGAAACCCCCAGCGGCAGGGTCTGCATGGCGGCCCCGCACACGATTCGGCACGCCCCTCAAACGCTTCGTGGCCCCATGGGGAGCTCCACCGCAGGCTCCACCGAAGACCCCCGGCGGCAATGGCCGCATGGCGGCCCCGCACCCGCTTCGGCACGCCCCTCACACGCTTCGTGGCCCCAGAAGGGGGCTCCACCGAAACCCCCAGCGGCAGGGTCTGCATGGCGGCCCTGCACACGATTCGGCACGCCCCTCACACGTTTCTGGGCCCCATACGAACCTCCACCGAAGACCCCAGCGGCCAGGTCCGCATGGCGGCCCCGCACCCGATTCGGCACACCCCTCAAACACTTTGTGGCCCCACACGGAGCTCCGCCGAAGACCCCAGCGGCAGGGTCCGCACGGCGGATCTACACCCGATTCGGCAGACCCCTCACACGCTTCTTGGCCCCAGAGGGAGCTCCACCGAAACCCCCAGCGGCAGGGTCCGCATGGCGGCCCCGCACACGATTCGGCACGCCCCTCAAACGCTTCGTGGCCCCATACGAAGCTCCGAAGGCCCCAGCGGCAGGCTGCGTGGCGGCCCCGCACCCGATTCGGCACCCCCTTCACACGTCTTCTGGCCCCATAAGGGGGCTCCGCCGAACACGATAGTCACACTTGCGGTATGCACAATTGCATACGGCTGGGCGCTTCGCCAAGATGTTTTTGGATTTGCACGCCCTTGGTCCGATACGCGTCGACCACGTATGACAAGCTCTTCCTAATGTTCTCGATTGCTTCTCTCAGCCCAGACATTTCAATCTGGAATGCAGAAGTTGCGCGCGCATCATGCGTGCAGATGTAGACAACAAGGCTTACCTGTGTTGACTCTCCATGGATTGTGTGTGCGATAACCTGCACCCCGTCAGCTCCACCCACTTTCAGCACGTACCCCCCCTCCGAAAAGAACTGCAATGCAACCGCCCAGACAGCATGGCGCTGGACCATCTCCACCGTCAACATGCCACCACCTCTTTGTGCACTAATTGCGTGCTTGCGCAAGAATTCAGCGTCAATCTTCCATTCGCGCGCCCTCCAATAGCCAGGGTCCAGCAGTCTGGCTTTGTACCTGCAGCGCTGCCTGTACATGTGCCCCAAATTCCGCCCGATCTTGCGCACTTCTTGTTCGTACTGCGTGGTCGTGATGGCGGTAGTCGAAATCGCCAATCCCGCAACTGCCTGGCTGTCCACCACGAACTCCACCTGCAGGAGCTCTGTTGTTGTCGTTGTGATCGTTGCCGCTGGGACCGTTCAGGTGGCGACATCCGAGCCATACCCCCCCCCAACATGGATTCTCTTGAATCGACGGGTGGCGGGGGTGGGGCTCGGATCCCGCCGCGTGCTCGACGCCCCCCGAACCCTACCCCCGCCGCCCCTCGAGTTGGCTGCATCGTGGATCGGCGAGGGTAGCGTTCGGACCCAACACACCCAGCGCCTCGATCTGACACGGGCCCCCGACCTCTCATCCCGCGTCGATTTTTGTTTACGGTCCCGGGGCCCCGGGGCCCAGCGAGGGCCTCGAGAGGCTGAAAGCCATGAAAAACTCCGTCTAGATCTGTGTTGCTCATCGTACCCAAAGACCACATCCCAGAAATGATTTCGAGCACCCGGAAAAGTGTCGAAACAGTGTCGATTGAGTGTCGAAACAGTGTCGGACGAGTGTCTCCCAGGGCCCGACACGTGCAAACCTTCGAGTTTCAGTACATTTTGGGGGCTTGAAGTTCTTTCTGGCGATCAGGGCTAAAGTAGGTTGGGACATCGTACAGTCTCGCTGTTTTCGAGACGACGGATGTCGCGGACCCGTTTGACCCGACAGGAGGAGGAGGAGCAGGAGGAGGAGGAGGAGGAGGGGGAGGAGGAGGAGGGAGGAGGAGGAGGAGGAGGAGGAGGAGGAGAATCGGAGGAGGAGGAGGAGGAGGAGGAGGAGGGAAGAGGAGGAGGTCCGTAGCCATTTGGGCTCAAGGTCCGTAGCCATTTTGGCTCAAGTCCGTAGCGTCGGCTCAGGATTTGAGTGCCTTTGTGGCGTGGGGGAGTTGCGGCCCCCGACTGCTTTCAAACTACTACACGCCGTGTACTGTGCGGGAAACCGCTCTCTGTGTCCTCACCATTACGGTGCAGTCATGGCTCCAGCTGGGGCTCCTGACTTCTCTCGTTGGGCTTGCGGCCACAAGAAGTGCGGTTACCAGTATAACTACAGTTGGCGCAAAAATTGCTTCAGATGCGGTCGCTCAGCAGGGCGGCAACCCGATGTATCCTTCGGCAATGGCAGTGGCAATCGCGATCTGGGCGCGTGGGCTAAGGGGCCTCCGTCTGGGCAGCAGCTGTCCTTGTCCGAGGAGCAGGTGCAGATCTATGCGAGGATGGGCTCGTCCGGCTTCGAGCAGTTGGCGGAAGGATGGCCCACCAAGCAGCTCAACCGTGTGTTGGCGCAGCGTGCGTTGCTCAATGGAGAGCCTCGTGCATCTGCCAAGGCTGCTCGCTTGGATCAAGATTTGTATGAAGACAAGAAGTCCAAGGCTCAGCGCGCCTTGGATCGTGCGAATGATGCGGTGTTCAAAGCGGTGGCTCATGCAGCGAAGTGCAAAAAGGACCTGGAAGTTGCCGAGGCAGCTGCCAAGGCTGCTTCAGCCAGGGCCGCTGCTGCCTTTGCTGCCATGGGCCAGGCGGCCGAGCCTGCCGACCCGCTCGAGCAGCTCAAGCAGCTGGTCGCCTCGCTCACCGCCGTCAAGGAGAATCCCAAGGCTGCCGAGGTCGCCGACGCCCTCAGCAACCTCGTGCCCGTGCTACGCGAGGCGGTTCCCACGGCTGCTGAGCCTGCTGGCGGTGCTCAGCCACCTGGCCCTGCGGCCCCTGGAGGGGGGCGTGGGCCCGAGGCCGCGCAGGCTCCGCCAGGTGATGCTGGGGAACCCGCCATGGAGGTCGACAGTGGCGCCGCTGCTGCCGTCGCTGCTGAGCGTGCCGCTGCAGCCGCCCAGCAGCAGGAGTTCCTGGACTACCTCCAGCAGGCGCAAGCAGGAGATACGCCCGAGATGGTTCAGCTCATGGAGAAGCATGGGGTCAAGCACGAGCTCATGGCGGACATCTTCAACAACGTCAGGAACCAGGCGCTCAAGAAGCTGCGCGTGGACGACGGAGACTTGGTCGAGGGCAAGGCAGCTGCTGGCGCATCAGGCTCGGGTGCGCCTGGCTCCTAGCTCGTGGCACATGATCAGCAGCAACGTCACAGGGCTCGTCGGCCTCGAGGCGTTGATCAAGCACAGTGAGGTTAAGAGTGCCCAGTTTGTCGCGGTGCAAGAGCACCATCAGGTTGACACCTGCGCTTCCTGGGAAAGTAAGTTGCGGAAAACAGGCTGGCGTGGCAGGATGGAGCCTGCCGTCAGCACGGGGCGCGGCGTGGGCACCAGTGGTGGTATACTGCAAATGGTTCCCATCGCCCAAGGACTCGCCCCAGTCGATCTTATCCCTCCTTCTATCAGTGGTGGCAGGGCTGTGGCTTTGCACACTCCTGGAGTTGTGCCTGGAGGTTTCTTGTGGATCACGCTCTACCTGCATGACAGCGAGCAACTCTCGCCCAGGAATTGGCAGATACTGGAAGCTGTCGGTGCAGCGCTTAAGGTTGCGAACATGCCGTACATTGTGTGCGGCGACTTCAACATGACGCCCGATATATTGTCTGGATCAGGATGGCCAGAAGCCATCGATGGCGTGGTGCTGGCGCCAACAGCCGCCACTTGCACCAACCCGTCCGAGTCTGGCGGAAAAGTCTTGGACTACTTCGTGGTGTCGGCGTCCCTGCAGTATGGTGCCACTGTGCAGGCCATCGTCGATGCGGGCACCACGCCTCACATGCCTGTCAAGCTCACGCTCTGCTCGACCACGCTGATGGACTTTGGCTACAGGGTCGCGCGCATCCCGAAGAGGTTTCCCGTCGACATCCCCATGGGCTGTCGCGTGCGCGATCCTGCGCAGCTCTGGATCGACGCTGAGTTGGACATGATGGAGGCCACCGTGGATGGCAAGTGGCGGCGCTGGGTTGCTGCTGCAGAATTGGACCTGGCCGACGTCTACGGCATCGTGCCCGCCGAGTCGCCCGAGTACTTCGGCCGTAGTGAAGGGCCCCAGTTCGCCTGGAAAAAGCCTGCTCTGCCCAAGGACCTTGCCTACCCCAGGCTGTCCCCTCGCTCTCTCTGGTGGCGTCTTCTCGCCAGGGTCTTCTGGGGTCTGAGTCGCTGGCAGCCGGCGCCGCTGAGAGCTTCAACACTGCGTCTCGCTCGCCAGGTCCAGGCTAAAGTAGGCACAGCAGGCATAGACCCTGGCTCGACCCTAGCTAGACCCTGGCTCGAGTTGTTAGGGCTTGCTAAGTATCTATCTTACGAGCTGGCAGCAGTTGCAGCGACTGCCACCAAGAAGCTCGCCGATTCTGAATTTCGCAATGCAGAGAAATCGAAGAAGGATGGCTGGCGTGCCTGGGTCAAGGAGCATAGTTTGAACGGCGGAGCTGCTCTATACGCGGTGTCCAAGCCGCCCGTCCCATGGCATGCCAGCTCTTTCGTTTGCAGTGAAGGGCAGGCTGTTAAGAAGCAGCCTGCTACTTTGCATCAGGAGATGGAGCTCCTCGAAGAAGAGTGGGGTCACTGGTGGCGTGTTGGGGTGCTGGGGGACTCCATCTCGTGGCCTCGGGATTTGGGTCCCCTTTTTCCCAGGCCCTCCCTTCAGGAGCTTAAAGAATGCATCAGGAGTTTTCCCACAAAATCGGGGTGCGGCTTTGACCAGATCACCCCAAGGCAGCTGTTGTCCTTGTCCGATGCTGGGCTCGTCCTGCTCATAGACCTCATTGAAGACATTGAGGCTGAATGTTGCTGGCCCCAGATCTGGACAAAAGTAGTGTTTCTCACCAAGCGTGAAGGGGGCCTCCGCCCCATAGCGCTCATACACATTCTTGCGCGGATACAGGGGAGGCTTCGCCGTCCCATGATAGCTACGTGGCAACAGGCCAATCCGAGGCCCTATTGGTGGTCAGCCAAGGGGCGTAGTTCTGACAAATTGGTCTGGGTGCAGACCGCTGGGGCCGAGTGGGCCTCCGAGAGGCAGCTAGCCTCGGGCCTAATTCTTTTGGACCTCCAGAAGGCGTTCGAACACGTGCGGCACTCTCAGCTTGTCGCTGCTGCGCAGCGCACGGGGTTTCCGCTCCGCCAGTTGAAGCTTCTCGTCGAGCTCTATCGGTTGCCTCGGGTGCTGAGCTATAGCAATGCCGTGTCGTCGCCTCTGGAGGCGCAGCAGGCCGCATTGCCTGGCTGCCATTTTGCAACGCTGATGCTGCAATTAATTCTCATCGGTCCTGTCGACACTGTGGCCCAAGCTTTTCCCCACGTCACTCTTGGGGTCGTGGTCGATGATTTCGGCCTCCAGCGCATCGGTCGCGATCAGGACGTTGAGAAAGATTTAGTGGCTGCAACGGGCAAGCTTCATTCCGAGCTGAAAAGTGTGGCTCTGGTCGTTCACCGTGAGAAGGGTCGTGTCGTTGCGTCGTCCCCTTGTCTCAGGGATCGGATTGTGAAGCGAACCCGTAGGTTTAATCTCAAAGGGGTCTCTAGTGAAAGAAACCTCGGTATCGATTTTGCTGCTGCTCGTATAATGCCTCGGGAGACTCGAAGGGCCCGCAGGGGACCTGCTGTAGCACGGGCTCGAAAACTCCAGAGTTTCTCGAAGGAAGTAAAAAAAGCGTCGTGTGCATCACATGGTGCAGGCGGCCTGCCTTGCCTCTCTCAAGTACGGAGGCACTGTGTATGGAACGAACAATACTGATTTACGTGTGGCCCGTGCGTTACAGGCGCATGTGCAAGTACAAAGCTTGTCGGGCCGCAGCGTGACCTTGTTGCTTATGCAAGCCGAGGCGCCAAAATGCGACCCGTCTTATCGTCTCAACATCGACCCGCTCAGCATGTATGCCACCGCGGTTTGGGACGGTCTTTTGCCGCGTAGGCTGCTCGAGCAAGGTCTGACTACTGCTGTGCACCGTCTGCAGCACAGCGGCAACCCATGGGCGAGCGTCAGAGGTCCCTTCTCGGCTTGTGCCGCCACCGCTCTTCGGCTCGGTCTTGTCATCCAGGGCTTTGTCTGGCGGCATGCCGTGCTAGGAGAGATTTCGGTGCTTGATTTTGGACCCCGCTCGGTAGCCATGTGGTTGATGCGTGTTGTTGATT